AGTACCCTCTTCAAGTTTTTGATTTTTCTCTTGGTTTTCAGACTTCCTTTTTTTTTTTTTTTTTTTTTTTTTTGGTTATGGTTGCAAACAGCTGAGGAAGGCAGGGGGCGGTGACACTGACCCCAGGGTTCAGAGAAGCACACTGCAGGCAGCCCAGAGCAGGCACAGGTGGCTGCCGATTGGAAGATCAAGACCAACCACGCCCCCCACCCCCACCACGCTTCCTGCTTTCCTTTCTCTCGCGGCTTTTCCAGCTCCTCTGCTCGTAGCTTCTCCAGCGTTTTCTGGTTCTCACAGAGTTCACAGTCCTTCTGGGTTTTTTTTCCCCCCCTCTTGGGAAGCTTCTCTCGTTTTCCTCTTCTCTCCAATTCTTAATTCTTTGTCTTTCCTTTGCTCTCTTCTCTGCCTCTTTCTCTAGGCGCTTTGATCTTCTCTCCTGTTTTAGGTCCTGGAGTTTCTGCCTCTTGAGCTGCTGTTTCTTCCGTGAGGCATCGCCCAGGTGTTTGGAGTCGGAAGAAGCCTTATGTTGCAGGCGGTGGCCTTGCGGCCCTGGCCTTTCCCTGTGAGCTGCGGCGGCGCGTGGCGCTCGGGACTTGGATGCCGCGCCAGGTGGGTCCTCGCGGTATGCGACGTTCGCCTGGAAGTTCATGGGTCCCCGAAACTGAAGGTGTGTAAGTTCCGGCCTGTCGTCTCCTCCTGTTGGGGGTCCAGCATGGGGATGCCCACGTTCCATATGTCCCCGCACTTGTCTCAAAGCACCTTGACCAGGAACCTCCTCGCTGGGCTGACTCCTCAGGGCAGCCCCTCCGGGGACCTGGTGCCTGGCGGCTCCCTGGGCAGCATTTCATTCCCGTCCTTTGTGTCATGGAAGAAAGAGTCCCAGTCCCAGTGTGTAGGGAAGTTGGTCTTGAACGTGGTGGCATGCGTCTTGAGGACTTCAGGGAAGCTTAAGGACCTTGTGGTGGAGGCAGGCCAGTTAAAACGCGATCGGATTCTTGGGGCGCCTGGGTGGCTCAGTTGGGCATTTGGCTTCCGCTCAGGTCATGATCTCCTGGTTTGTGGGTTCCGGCCCCACATGGGGCTCCTCTGCTGACAGCTCAGAGCCTGGAGCCTGCTTTGAATTCTGTATCTCCCTCTCTCTCTGCCCGCTAACACTCGGTCTCTCTTTCTCTCAAAAATAAACGTGAAAAAAAAATTAAAAACCAAATAAAAAAAACTTGACCAGATTCTTGCCCACCTGGCCATCTGAGAGAATGAAGTCCATGGTGCCCTAGGAAATCTGCAGGGTGGAGAAGCGGCGATTGTGCACCATGGCCTTAAGCCTTTCCAGCACCTCCCAGCTGGAAATGGTCTTCCCCGGCCACCTCAGCAGTGATGGGCCATGGTGATGGTCACCTTCATGATGGGCTTGAGACAGAGGCCTACAAAGGCCAGAGCGCCACTGTCCCTGACGTGTCATGGACTGTGGTAGCCATTGCCTTACCCCGGCTGGCATGGCCACCCCGCCCGGAGCCATCACCTTTGTTGGAGGTGCCCTTGGAGCCACCTGGCCACCGTCACTGCCTGCCCCTGTGACTGTGCTCAGTGCTAGAGATACAAAGGTGAGTGAGACCTCAGTTGAGAGAGAGAAAGAGAGAGAGAGAAATAAGTAAAGAGTATAAAATATGCCCTCTGGGCTGCCTTGTTCACAGTTATATGGACACCGCCTGGATACTGCAGGATAATTGTTTGTTGAATAAATAAATAGATGAATGAATGCAGAGGATGAAAGGTACACAGAATAGATTCAGGAAGGCTTTGTAGAGGAAATACTGACTGTCATGCATTAGAAAGAGGTAGCTGGGTAAAGCAGGCTGGACAAAGTATTCTAGAAAGAGGAAAGGCGAGGTTGGCTCTGGTTTCCAGTAACTGATTACGCCTGGATTTAGAGCGTGGTGGACGAGGTGGTGAGGGATGTGAGTCCCAGGATGAAGACCTCATATGCAGAGTTGCTAGTTACGATTCTATTTTAAAATCAGTGGAGAGTCATTTTTTTCTTTTAGTCTTTTTTTCCCCCCCTTAGAGAGAGAGCCAGTGGGAGAGAGGGGCAGAGAGAGAGAGAGAGAGAGAATCTTTTTAAAAAATATTTATTTATTTGGAGAGAAAGGACAGGGGAGGGGTGGAAAAAGGGAGAGAGAGAATCCCAGACAGACTCTGTGTTGTCAGTGCAGAGTCCAGGGTGGGGCTAGAACTCATGAACTGTGAGATCATGACCTGGGCTGAAATCAAGAGTTGGACACTCAACTGACTGAGCCAGCCAGATGCCCCCAGATAATAGCAGTTTTATAGGGAAGTTTGACAGGGCTTTAAAACTCAGTAGATTGAGAATATTAACAAATAAATGAAGACCTGATATCCATAAAGAAATACTAAGGAGGGCATTCACTTTCGAACGTCTCCTTTCTGTAAAGAGAGCTTTCCTACTATTCTTCCTTTCTATTCTTCTACTCTAATAAACTTTTTACATATGAAACAAAAGAGATGGGTATAAAGAATAAATAATTAAAAAAATTTTAAAGTAAGTCATTTAAATTAAAAAAGAACTACAATAATAGATGGGCTGGACTTTAGATTAAACACAGAGAACAAATTAGAGACATGGACTAAAGCTCTGAAGAGTCAACCTAGTATGAAGCATAGAGAGTCAAAGAAATAAAAATATACACAGCAGGTAAGAGACCTAGAGATTGGGACACCCTGAGTGACATTAACTAAGGAATTCCAGGAAAAGAGATTAGAGGAAAGGGTGGAGGAGCAACGTTTGAAGATCTCGTAATTGAAAATTCTCCAATTTGCAAAAAGACTTTAGGATTTGTTTTCTGTTCATTCATTCATCCATTCATTCATTCAGCAAACACTGAATGAGCACTTACTATCTGTACAGTCTAGGCTAGAATAGGGTATATGAAATAACGGTGGTAGAATCTGAGCCCTGAGGGTCTCATAATTAGTAGGAGAGATGGACATGTTTAATTAAAATGTAATGTAAAAAGGGCTATAATAAAGGACATATTACAGAATCAAGAAGAAGGAAGAACATTTCTGGGAGGACTAAGACAAGCCTCCCTCTCAGAGGAGATGACCTTCAAACTGGGTCTTGTAAGTTTCCTTGTAAGTTGAGTGTTTCCTACAGGGTTGTTTTCCAGGAAGAGGAAACACATGGACAAAAGGCACAGAAGCATGAAAGAGTGTGACATGTTTGCTGGCTGCTGAGTAGTTCTAGGTGGTTCTGGGTTCTAGAGTACCTGGAAGGAGAGGTGAGATCATAAGCTAAAAGGACTGACTGGGGAAAGAATATAATTACCTTTTAAGAAGTAAAACAAAAAAACCCCACATTTATTGGAAGTTTATTGAAAGACAAAAAGTAAATGCATAGATTGCAGAGATATACCATGTTCATCAATGTGATGACCCAGGATCATAAAGATGGATTTTTCTTCCCAAATAAATTCAGTGCTATATCAATTAATACCCAGGGGATTTTTTTTGAATGAAATGTGACTGAGTATAAAATTTATATACAGAAGGGGCCAAACTAATTAACCAAAATACTTTTGAAAAGGATAGCAGAGGGGCGCCTGGGTGGCGCAGTCGGTTAAGCGTCCGACTTCAGCCAGGTCACGATCTCGCGGTCCGTGAGTTCGAGCCCCGCGTCGGGCTCTGGGCTGATGGCTCAGAGCCTGGAGCCTGTTTCTGATTCTGTGTCTCCCTCTCTCTCTCTCTGCCCCTCCCCTGTTCATGCTCTGTCTCTCTCTGTCCCAAAAATAAATAAACGTTGAAAAAAAATTAAAAAAAAAAAGAAAAGGATAGCAGAAATGTACCTTCCCGACTGTCAATATTAATCTGATGAGTTTTAACAACTAACACGTTGTTGGAGGCATTTCTTAAATGTTGAGAATAATTCATCCTGATTGTTTTCAGTGCCCAGCAGATGTGGATTTTTTATTGCTTTGGCATTACTATACAGGATGAGTTGGGGAAGGGGGGTGGCAAGACTGGAGTCGAGCTCACGTGTTGGTACTTCAGAAAGTTGGCTGAGACATGCTGAAAATGGAGAACAAGGATAGTAAAAATGAAGAGATCTGAGTTAAAAAAAATGCTTAGGAGAGAAAATCAGCAGACCTTGAAGTTCATCTTTGTTGGAGGGTAGGTGGGTTGGGCAAGAGGCAAGAGAAGGATAACGTTAAGGTATCAAACCTGGATAGGTCGTTGGACAGTGGGTCTATTAACAGCATGACTATCGGAGGAAGCCCAGGTTGGGTTTACTCTGGGACATGTTGATTTTAGGGTTCTCTTGGACAGAGAAGTAGGTATCAGGAAAGTAACAATGGAATTTGGGAGAGCTGGAGGCAGACATCTTAAGTAGTTGTTGAAGTAATAGAAATAAAATGCCCTACCCAGAATCCAAGTTCAACAAGTAGAGGAGGAGGACAGCGCAGGTGGGAAACACCTCCAGGGGGAGATGATGCCTGTATCTGGGCCTGGAAGGTTGGGAGGGTCTGCAGAGGCAGAAATGTAATGCAGGGCAGCCTGGGCAGGGCAGATGCAGAAGCTGAGTGAGAACGGAGGGTGCTGATGCTGAACGGAGGGTGCTGGAGAGTTTTGGCTGGATTGGTAAGAGAGAGGAACCTCCAAAGGTGGTGAAAAAAGAGAGGGCTAATGGAGCACTTGGGTGGCTCTGTCGGTTAAGCATCTGACCCTTGATGTCATCTCAGGATCATGGGATCGAGCCCCGTATCGGGCTGTGTGCTGTCAGCGTGGAGCCTGCTTGGGAATTTCTCTCTCCCTCTCTGCCCCTCCCCAGCATGCTCTCTTTCTCTCTCTCCCCCTCTTTCTCTCCCTCCCCCTCTTTCTCTCCAAATAAAACTAACAAGACAACACAAAACAAAACAGGGGCCAAGCACAAAGGAGACCTTCTCATTTTTCCCTCCACACATGCAAAGTGACAGGTACACCCTCACCTCTGCATTTGCTGCAAGTTGGGTGGCATCTCTCACACGTCCGTGTGTTTTGATCCGCGTAGTAATGCTCTGGGCAGGTGCGATGACACTCTCCCTTGGAGCGGAGCAGGAAGAAAAACGTATCGCAAGACAGGCAGTCGGTGGGCCGTGGGCCCCGGCACGCCTTGCAACTCCTGCTGCACCTCTCACACCGTCCGGTGGCTTCTTCTGCGTAGTATCTGAAACCAAGTGCGGAAGCGAAGACTGAATCCCAGGCTTTGCTCTTGGGTTGGGTGTGGCGGGAAAATCGAGGTTAGCCAGACGGTGATTGTTTCCGAGTTGGGGGACTTTAGGCTCGACTCGCTAACCGTACTCAGTAGATACATTACCACAGGGCACCCCTCCTCTTCCCACGCTTCGCTTTATGCGCTTTGCAAGCATTGTGCCTCTTACCAACTCGAGGTTTGTGGCAACCCTGCGTTGAGCAAGTCTCTTGGCACCATTTTTTCCAATGCCATTTGCTCACCCCGTGCCTCTGTCACGATTTGGTAATTCTCGCAATATTTCAAATCTTCTCATTATCATACGTGTTACGGTGATCTGTCACTCAGTGACAGTGGCTCACTGAAAGCTCAGATGATGGCTACCATTTTTTAGCACTACAATATTTTTCAGTTTAGGTGCGTACATCGCTCTTTTAGACGTCATGCTCTTGCACGCTTCATGGACTACGGTATAGTGTAAACCCAACTTTTATATGCACTTGGAAACCGAAACATTCATTTGACTTGCTCTGTTGCGATAGTCACCTTACTGCAGTGGTCTGGGAGTGAACTGCAGTATCCCCAAGGTATGCCTGTAATGATACTAACAAACCTAATGATTCTCTGTTTTCGTATCTTTAAATTGGGCACTGTAATCCCTTCCTTGCTATTTGTGAGTACTAAATTAGGTAACACATACGAAAGGACCTAGGAATTATCGTATGTTGCAGAGTTATGATAATTGTTCACTTCCTTATACCTATATGCTTCTCCACTTGAACATTCAAGTCTCAGGTTTTGTAGAATGGGATCCGGTTATGGAGGATGTTCTAAATGTACCTCTGAGTGATTCTTCTGGTGCCTCAATTAAAAAAAATAATCTTGACCTGGGAGATGATGTGCGTGATGCTAATGTTTACACAATAACAGGTGTAACCTCGTCGGAAAGATTTTTGGAGGCTGACGTAACAATAATCCCTGTTGGTTAACTTTTTACTGCGTACCCGATCGTACGCTAGGGACTTCGTAAACATTAGTTCCCTTTATTGAACCTAGAACTGAGACACTAGAGCGTGACAGTCAGGAGCTTGCCTTTTGGAACAAGACTGCATGGGGTCAAAGCCAAGCTGTTCCAGGCATGAGCTGTGCGACTTTGGCCAATTCACACGACGTCTCTGTCTCAGGTCGTCATATGGGGCTTAACGTTAGCAGCTAAAATTAAATAAGTTATTACTGAGAAAATAGTTACAACATTGCCTGGCACATTATAAATAATGCGTGTTAGTGATAATTATGAATTGTATGTTAAACCTCAAAGCAAACCTTACGATTCAGGTATTATTGTCCCTATTTTATGTATGTAAAAACTGAGGCTCAGAGAATTTAGACCACTTGGCTCAATGTCAAACAGCTAGCGAAGTGGGGTAATGTGATTTCAACCTACCTGGTAAATACCGCTATAGCAAAGCAGCGCAAAGTAAATAAGAATATTTCAAGTAAGATAGACGAGAGGAAAGAAATCGTGGACAAAGATGAACTTCTAGAGCTCATCTGACCCTCCTTGGCATCTCTGGACATTGGCACACTGAAACTATCCTAGAAACTGGAAGGTCTGCCCTTGGCTTCTCTGGCGTGAAACTATCTGCCACATTAGGTTCCTTAAAGTTTCTTTCAGTTCCACTAACTTGTTGGAAACTAAGGCCATGGCTGAGTCTGCCTTACTCAGCCACCTGACACTGACCTGAGTGAATGCACCTGTACCTCAGCGGTCAAGCCTTGTTTTACCTTCCACGGGTGGGTGAGGAACAATTACCACAAGTCAATCAGTAGGACTGGGGTATGAGAGAGACAGGGTCATGAAAGGAACACAAGGGGAAACTTCAGTCATGAAGTGAAGGGTTGATAAAGCCCACAGGAGGCTCAAAAGAGAGCCACAGTGCAAGGTAGAAATCCGCACTTGCCCACCCAGAGAATATACAGGCTGAAGTCAGAAGATCTGATTTCTAGTCTTGGCTCCACTGTGTTTTAGAAGCTTTGCGACTTTGGGCAAGTCACGTAACCTCTTTGAGCCTCAGTTTCCTCATTTTTAATACGGAGAGAATAACATCAATCTCATAGGATTAGTGGAGAACTAAATCATCGTATAAAAATATATTCTGAGTAGAAATACTTCGTAAACTCTAAAGCAGCATGAATGTGTTTTACTAACGTGATGGGTTTTTAAGATGAAAAGCATCAATAAGAACTGTGGGGAAGAAAGCTTCTTAATACCTAGTAGGTTTTAAAAATTATCAAAGAGGAGCGCCTGGGTGGCTCAGTCGGTTAAGCATCCGACTTCAGCTCAGGTCATGATCTCACAGTTCGTGGGTTCGAGCCACGCATCGGGCTCTGTGCTGACGGCTCGGAGCCTGGAGCCTGTTTCAGATTCTGTGTCTCCCTCTCTCTCTCTGCCCCTCTCCTGTTCACGCTCTGTCTCTGTCTCAAAAATAAATAAGCATTAAAAAAATTTAAAAAATTATCAAAGAGTGAAAGATGGTGGGGGGGGGGAGTTACTAGATACGATTAAAAGAAGAGTACGATACCACTGCTTGCACGAGGTGGCTATGAGATGCCCAGATCCTCAATGCCCGGAAGAGGATTTTGTGCATAAATACAAACAATAATGGGAGTCTTGAAAAACCTGCTCCGAGGTTAAACACTAACATAACTATATGTGTTGGCAAAGGGTTCAGAAGATCATATACCTGCCTTTCCAAGGCAAAGAGGTTTAACACATCTCAGATGTAATGTATGTGGGACACTGATTTTACAAAAAGGGACAATCTCCGTTAAATATCTCCACTTATACCTCATTAATATCCCATTTGTTCCCCATTAAAGAGATTTATGGCAACCTGTGTGTCTCCTCTCCGTGGGTAACTTTACAATGGAACATCTGTCTTCTTAACTCCATGGTCTACAATCAGTTGAGATCACAAGATTACACCCTCTTGCGTATAGGAGTATTTAATGACTCGATTTGAGGAAGATGGTGATTCCTTTCCCATCTTTTCAGGCACCTTGTGGAATGAAGATCAAAGGCTAAGCCAGGTGGCCCCATCGCCTCTCTTGTTCGGTAGGGCCCTTTCTTCCTTGATTTATATGGCTGGTGTTTTTGAGGGCCGCTAATGTGTGTGACTTTGTGCTGAGTATTGTAGCAATATGTGCGAAAAAATAAGAGGCTGGTTTTTTTTCCAGGCGCTCGTAATTTTCTTGGTAAGAAATATAAAAGAAGCATACATTCTTGAAGGTCAACATCTTCGCATTACTCACACCTCCAAGGTGTTCTTTATTAAACATGTGTCGAATGAATGAATGAGCGAATGGACGAGGTAAATCAAAACACAGGGCAGTGTATAAGGACTACAATGAGTAACGCAGGCAGTAGCTGCTATAGAAACTGAAGAAAAGAAAAGTGATGTCCAATCTGGGCAGAAGCATTTGGGAAAGTCTGAGGTTACAGGCTTTCATTTTGGGTCCGGAAACTCTCGGTGCCTTCGGTTACCGATTGGGAAGGAAGAATCAGCAACAGGCCCGTAATCATCCTGTCTCTTTATTGGTGATTCCTGGGTTGGGGGCGGGGAGGGATGCCCCGGTCAAATCTTTCAAATAAGGTGGTAGCCCGACGCCCTGATAAATACACGCAGAGATTTTCCTAGCAAAAAATAATAGAGTTCTCATATGCAAGGGGCTTTTAGGAGAACGTAGCAGTGTCCCTACATTGCTTATGGGAACTAAACCTGCAAATAATGGATTTATGGGGCCGTGGTAGGTTGGAGCACTGGTAGGGTATAAATGGGGATATGTAACTGAAATGGTTCCCTTTGTAAAATCAATGCGCCCCACACATCACTTTGATCTCGCCAACAGAACAAATCCTAATGCAAAAGAGAAAGAACCTACATTTATGGTCTTAAGACTGCTCTGGGGGAAGAATCCTTTGCCTCTGCCTTGTGATGGCTTGTACCTCGAAATCAGTAGCAAAGTTTGGCACGTGAGCCTGACCTGATGATTGGCGTCTCGTGTTATTTCACTGGGTCGCTCGCCTCTCCCACGTCCTCATCCATTACTACGAACCAGCCGAAATCCTTTAGAGACCATGAGACCTTGGTTGGACTCTCGTCTTCATTTCTTACCAGCATTGAGGCTTCAGTCAGGTGTTCTGTAACTTAGCTTCGATGTCTGCACGGGGAAGGTTTGCCAGTGGTGATATCTGGAGTGGCTTTGGGATCAAATAGGGAAGCGGGTAGCGAGCACCTTACCCTTGCCTGCACTGGGGCAGGCACTCCTTTTGCAGCTGGAACGAGCTTGGTTGGCAGGAGAGGCACTGCGTGCTGCGTCTCCCTTCACACGTCCTACAAGAGCTGTGGCAGGGCGCACATTGGTGGCTGTCCTCATCAGCGTAGTAGCCCTCGGGGCAGTCCTGCACGCAGGTCGTATCTGCCAAGGAAGGAAAAGAGTCTGTCGTATCAAGTAGGACACACGTCTCCCAGCCCTCCTCTACGCACTCCCCAGAGTGAACCATGGTGGGGGGGGGGAGGATGCTGGCGAAGGGGACAATGTCCTTGTCAATGCTGTCCTTCTCAGGTCTCCTGGGTCCAGATAGACACTAACACCTTCCAGGTCTTCAGAATATCCCTCTCCTTCCCTCTCTCCTGTGCCCCTCCCTTGTTCCTTCTCTTAGCTGAGTGAGCTTTGTTTCATTTTTGTTCTCCCATACCCGTGTTACGCTTAATCATGGGATCCCTGGGAACCCGAGAGCATCGCTTCACACTAGCCGTGACCTTCGAATATGATCTGCTGGAGGTGGCCATCCTCAGACCGTGCCATACTTCAAGAAGACGTATTAATCAGCGGATGCAAACTCAAGGGGAAATTTTGATGAGGGGGTGAATGCCTGCATGTTCGTAAAGCGTCCCTGCACGGACTGCTTATTAATTGCGAGGGACAATAGTAACTAAGCAGTGGACACATCGGACAGCACCTTGAACAGAGGGCCGTGGTTCGCCTCACTGATGAGGGGCAGGGGAACATCCTGGGTTTCCAGAAGGGCGCGATGCCTCCTGTGAAGCATTTTGGCCTGAGAATGCATGATCTCTGTCTCATCGTGGGAAACTTCGCACAGACGTCAACAGAGGGATAGGGGCTGTATTCTTCTCAAATCCCAATATTATATAGAAAAAAAACGTCTGTGGCAACGTTTCAGGTTAAGTGGGGGGCCTCAGACTCATGGCAGCTAGAAGCAGTACCTGATTGGAGACTGGACCTTGGTCTACAGGGGGATTGCCAAAATTAGAAAACAGATGAAATAGTCTTGATGCTAAATTCACGTGCATTGACAACTGTACTGTGGTCGGAAACAAATATATCGTGGCATTCACATTGACAGAGACAGACCACGCTCGCGATCGGGCAGACGGGGTGCAAGATTAGCAGCGGGTCAAGTGGGTAAAGGGCACCCGTGTGGCGTTCTTTGCGCTTTTGCCTTTTCTATAGGTTTGAACATGTTCCAAATACAAAGTGAAAAATTAGAAAGACCCTACCCATCGACCGGGCCCCAGGCATCGTGCAAGGCAGTTTCCCCCATGGAGGGAGAGAGAGCCCGCCCCAGAGGAAAAGCAACTCACTGAGAAGAAGGCTGTCCCTCAGGCAGGTGCGACACTGGTCCTCTGCGGGCCCGGTGCAGCGGAAACACTTAGCATGACAGGGCTTGCATCCCAGAGCCTCATCCCAGTACTCAACGGGGGCACATTCCTTGTGAGGCACACAGCGTCCGTGGCTGGCCAACCCCAGGCCTTCCCGACAGGTGGTGCAGGTCCCAGGCGACGAGCAGGTCCGGCAAGACTTGTGACACTCTGTGGGCGGGGTGCGGGCAGGAGACACAGTGAGAGAGGGCCAGGGCGCCCCTGGAGGGTGTGTTCACGTTCCTTCCTCAGTTCCTTTAGAGATTTCTAGGGCTCTGGGCCAAGGGCAGGGGGCCGTGAGTTGGGTACGGCCCTTGGGACTCTGCGTAGAGCGTTCTCTCTAATAACTAGAGAGCCCCTTCTTGCAAAATTACCAAAACAGCAATAAAGTAATGGTGTGCGTGCGGCCTAGTCACCACCGTAACTCTTGTTGTGTGGTCCCCCACTGACCTCCCGGAGCACCTTGAGCGTATCACTAGTGGAACAATTGTTGGGATGTGTTACAATTACCCGTTGACCAAAAAAAAAAGAGGCCCCTTTTGTAGTCACTGATGAATGCATAGTACCTGTGAGAGGGCCTGGCACACAACAGGCTCTCAGTAAATTCCTGTTAGACAAACAAAATGACAGCAATTCATTCCCCCCCCTCGGGGTTTTTAGCAATTGCTGGTCCCTCGGCCTAGCGGTCTCTTCTAGATATATGTGTGGTTTGTTGCCTCTGTTTGTCCATGATATCTTCAGGCTCCCTCTCTCCAATTGCGACTCCATTCTGTCCCCTCCCTTGACTTATTTTTCCTTTTGCCTTCTTTAGAGTCTGTCTTCCCCAGTGGAACATAAGCTCCGTGAGGCCAGGAATCTGCCTGAGTCGTCCCCCGCTTTTCCCCAGGCCCGGAGGAGTGCACGGCACATAGCAGGCCCCCAATAAGGGCTCACTGAATGCGTAGACACACAGCATTAGTATTCTCTAGATCAGAAAACTGAGGCTGGTAAAGGGCAGGATTAGGGCCTGAGCCCAGGAGTTTACTAAGAGCGCTTTCTGCCCCAGTGCCTTGGGATAGGTATGGGATTCTTAGAGGTGCCTGTGCTACCTCATAGTGGATAATTTGGGTGGTCTGAATGGATCCCAAGCCCTTGTGTTTCTCAGAGGAGATCTTGCTTGGTTCCGGATGCTTCCCTGCATCTTTATTTCTCCCGGTCCCAGCTTCCCTCAGTCTGCTTTTGGGCTGGTGGTGGGTGCCCTGGCCTAGCAAGGAGAGGCCTCAAGTTCCCAACAGTTGAGCTGGCCTGAGGGGAGCCCAGGCATCTGTACGGTTGTGTGGGGGTTTTTTTGTTTGTTTGTTTGTTGTTGTTTAAAAAAATTTTTTTTTCCCAACGTTTATTTATTTTTGGGACAGTGAGAGACAGAGCATGAACGGGGGCGGGGCAGAGAGAGAGGGAGACACAGAATCGGAAACAGGCTCCAGGCTCCGAGCCATCAGCCCAGAGCCCGACGCGGGGCTCGAACTCACGGACCGCGAGATCGTGACCTGGCTGAAGTCGGACGCCCAACCGACTGCGCCACCCAGGCGCCCCATGTTGTTGTTGTTTTAAAGCTCCCCAGGCGATTCTAATGGGCAACCGGGGATGGGAACCAGGGGCCTTTCTCAATGAGAAAATTAAATCAGGTAAATCATGTAAACGTACTGTGAGGCCTGTAAAGTCTTCCGTGTGGCAAATTACCTTTGTTGTTGAACATCAGAAAAGGGCCAGAAATTGACCCTCTGTTCCTGCCCGAGCACAGGCAAGGTGGCACCTCAGAACTTCGGCCGAGTGGCCAAACTGTCAAGGAAACGGACCCCCAGGCTCGCTCCCGCCCCGTCCTCTGCGCATTTCTGAGCCCGTGTTCTTTCAGGTTGACGCTAAAGGGTGCCTTCCGTCAAACACACAAAAAAGTATACCCAGATCACAGAGCCAGAGCAGAAACTTCGGGAGCCAGCTCCATCTTCCTGTCCCATGGCATGCACAACGTTTGCCTGAGGACGTTCTGGGTTTTTCCTGCCACGGGCGCGCGCCCTCAAGCCCCCGCTGTTGTTGGGACCCCCTCTGCCTATCTGGCCGGTGTTTGCTTGGTGGCAACACGGGGCAAAGTTCCGACCGGCTGCCTAGCTGGAATGAACCCTGGAACTCTGGAAAAGTTCACCCGGAATGATTCATTTGTTTGAGGATTCTAGTAACAGACAATTTATTTATCCTGCTCTGAGGCAAACAGTTTATACCCAGCTCAAACATAAGGAGGCACAAACAACAGCAGATCTCTACTTAAAAGTGCCGAGTAGGTGGTCCCAGGGAAGGAGCTGCTGAAGCGGATGAGTCAAGGAGGGAAATCTTAGGGAGGAACCGAGGAGGGAGACGAGAGGCGCTGAGAAAATTCTCTGTGGCTTTCCTTATGCTGCTGTAAACCTTCAGTGGCTTCAAGTTTTAAGAAACAAAACAAAACAAAACAAAACCCTCTCATATGAGGTGCCCAAGTAGTTCAGTCGGTTAAGCATCTGACTTCGGCTCAGGTCATGATCTCACAGTTCGTGAGTTCGAGCCCTGCATCTGGCTGGCAGCTGTCAGCACAGAGCCTGCTTGCTTCGGATCCTCTGTCTCCCTGTCTGTGCCCCCCCCCCCCCCCCACAAAAATAAACGTTAAAAAGAAAAAAAGCTTCCATTTTGGGTGACGTTCAAAGCCTGATCTCCCCTGGGAAGCTTCACAGGAGAATTTTTTTTTTTTTTTAACGTTTATTTATTTTTGGGACAGAGAGAAACAGAGCATGAGCAGGGGAGGGGCAGAGAGAGAGAGGGAGACACAGAATCTGAAACAGGCTCCAGGCTCTGAGCCGTCAGCCCAGAGCCCGACGTGCGGCTGGAACTCACAGACCGTGAGATCATGACCTGAGCCGAAGTCGGACGCCTCACCGACCGAGCCACCCAGGCACCCCACGAGAATTCTTTTTGATCAGCAGTTCGGAGCCACTGTTGTGACGAGGGTCAACCTGATTTATTATTAAGAAGAGTTAACATGGTCAAAGCTTGTGAACGCGACTCATTAAAAAAAAAAGACATAATAAGTTAGAGCCGATTCAAAAGCTGCTTTCTGGAGCAGGAGGGAAACGGCTTGGGTGACGGCTCTGGGGCCGGAACCCTGCACACCCCAGCACCTGCCCTCTGCAGAAACCCACAGCTGAGTCAGGCGCCCCGGGGTGCAGCGCTTGGCCACGCCCCCGGAAGTCTTTACCTCTGCACTCCTTGGTCTCTTTCTCATAGTAAGTCCCTGCCGGACACTCCTCCAAGCAGCGTCCATCATAGAGAACCGAGGATGACTCAGCACAGAGGTCACAGTCATCCGCTGAGGGGCCATCACACTCCAGACAGTCTTCGTGGCAGGGGACACACTGGCGTCTGTCTGCGTAGTAGCCGCGGGGACAGGACTGATGGCACATGTCCTTGTGCAGGACAGACTCAGGCATACACTCTGGGGGGGGAGGAGGAAACGGCAAGTTAGCCCTGGGGCACAGGAGAGAGGGATTCATTCCTTCCACACGGACTCCGCCGACCTGGGTGTTAACGTGTGTGCGTCCCAAGCCCACCCTGCCAGGGCGCATCCCCCACGTCTCCAAACTTTGGGAGAGAAGACCACATAGGGGGGCCTGAGGAGAAGGTGCAGGGTTTCCAGCCCAAAATGATCAGCCCCTTGGAGGTTCCAGAAAATCGCAGTGCTGTGGCGCAGACCGGCGGTGGCGGAGATGCTGGGGGTATCGTTTGAAAACCCGGAAGGCTGTAACGGATTTTTAAAGTTGTACTGAGCCCCTCGCACTCTGTTCGATCCCCAAGTGGTTAAGGAATTCTTGCGTTAGTTAATTTTTTTATTCACTGCTAGGGTAGATCAGTGAAATAGACGCGGTTACTCAGCGTGAGGAGGGCATTGTGGGTTTCTTTGATTTTGACTCATTCTCTTATTTGGGGGGAAACCAAGAAAACGCTTTCAGTCGCGCCAAGAGAATCCTTTCGATAGAACCGTGCCAGTGAGATGAGTCTTACTCTGGAGAGGAAATCAAGACAGCCTTTCCTGGAGATAATTCCAGAGAAAGAATTCCTAGCCAGAGTGCTCTTCTGAGCCTTAACTGCTGCCTGAATTTTTCTTTCACGTCTTTTTTAAGAGTTGCGATTCTCTGGCTACCTCTGTGTTTCATTAGTATCGGTCTGCCCTGTAAGATTTTGAGCTCGAGGAGGCAGGAACTTTGGGTTCTTATCTGTATCTCTAGCACCTGGGATAGCTTGGCACACCCCCAGGGCTCAGTACACATGCAGAAAAGGGGTTCTCGTCTGTCTTCACTTGCAGAATCCATAATGGAAAGACTTTGTCTCACTCTTGATGTCCTCAGTGACGTGCACAGAGGTTGATCTATTCCATTAAAGGTAAGGAGACTGGCTCCTTCCGTTCCGCACGGACCTCCCCCCCCCCCCCCCCCCCCCCCGAGTGCCCAGCGGGGGTGGCATGGGAGAGCCACATCCTCCCCTGGGATGCCCCCCGGTACCTTTGCATGTTTGCTCATGGATGCAGTCCTGACACATCTTGGGGCAAGGCTTGCACACCCCGTCCATGGCCACGTGCCTCTCGGGGCAGGTTTCCCGGCATGCTCCCTGGTCCAAGACGAAGCCTCCTTGGCAAGAACGGCAGCTGGTGGCATTTCCTTCACATGTTCTGCAGGGGGCGCTGCAGCGCCTACATGTGCTGTCTTCTGCGTAGAAGCCCCTGTGGGGAGGACAGAGCACAACTGGAGAAGCCTTCCCACTAGGGAAGTGAGCCACGCCTGGTGGCAGAGGGTTTGGGACTAAGCAAACCAGAGGCGCTGCTCGTGCCGTCGGGCAGGATGAGTCCGTCAGCTTCCCGAGGGAGTGCGGGCAGAGATCAAATGTGGGAAGATCAAGTGAAAGTCCTAGGTACTATCCCTGCGAATTTGGTTTGTTTGGAAACGACTTTTGTTCATTTGTATATAGTTCAGCCATCTTCTGATGTCCCCATTTTACTTCCTATTTTTTTTCTTTATTTAAGAGGTTCATTTATTTTTGAGAGAGAGCACGAGCCGGGGAGCCCCACGGAGAGAGGGAGACAGAGAATATGCAGTGGGCTCTGTGCTGACAGCAACGTGCCCAACGCAGGGCTCGAACTCACAAACTGTGAGATCGTGACTGATCGTGACCTGAGCTGAAGTCGGGTTGCTCAACCGACCGAGCCACCCTGGTGCCCCATCATTTTTCTTTTTTTTTTTTGAAGTCAGAGTCTAACGTTCGAGGAGAAAACGTATTTATTCAATCCATTTTTTAATGAAGAATTTTAATTTAAGAGATTACTTACCTTGATACCTAATATGCAATGTTAATAGTTAAGTTAAACAACTGTTTTTAAAAGGCTCACAAGGCTTAAGGCCCTGTCAGACTGGAACCACTTTTGCTTCTGACTGCTCTCAGCCAACCTCTGGGGACTTCCGTGAAACACACACGTCCGGTCTTCGCACACAGCAGCAAACGTATTTGGAGTCGCTGTTATTGGAATGTATGTTTATCTGATTGGCTTTCTTCCAGGTGGAATCTGATGTCTGTGTATACGTTGTACACCTGCATGATGAAATTATCGTGCCATAGAAATCTCTCACTGCTCAGTGAGCACAGCAAATCTGAAAGCCTCAACCTTTTCCAATCTATTCAGAAGACGAGGGGAATAGAGGTCGTTTCTTTGACGAAAAAAGCTGAAGGCAAGAGCTGGAACTTGCAGAAGCAGGGAAATCATAAACCAGTATAGAGAACGTGGGCTTCCGATGTCATAGGTACCTATTCCAGTTGTTTTCTGTGATTTGCATTCCGTTAGTCAGTTATCGCCGTGTAACAAAACACCCCAGGGCTCATCCCTTGTCTGTCTGTGGGGAAGCCAGATTTAGGCTGAGCTTACTCTCAGAGAAACTCGTGTCACTGTACTAGAAGAGCTCAGGCATGTGCTCCGGGGAAGGAGGCTTGGCCCCAAGGTGCGCACTAGGCCCAGGTCGTCTTCACGTCACTTTGTCCTCCCTGGCACAGGGACCTCGTGGGGCACGTTCTTCTCTTAGTCACGGCAGAAGCGCGAGGGGGCAGGTTCATCCAGGCACACCCGTTTTAAGCCTCTGCTTGCCTTCTGCTAACATCCCGTTGGCTAAATCAACCCTGGCCAAAGTCAAGGGTCAGGGAAGTCCATTCTGTCTCCGTGGGAGTTGCTGCAGATTGACAAGCAGAGGACACGGATCCACGGAAGGGTGAAAAATTGCAGCCACTGCTCAATATCCTAGAGTCACGTCTGAATCCGAATGCCAATCAGGGATCCTGCCCGGCGTCTTTACTTGATGTCTTAATTAATTAAGGCATTTTACATCTATCTGATCGTTCTTTCAGCTCTCCCTTGGTATTTATTCAGTAAGCAAAAACGTATTGAATGTATCAGGAAGAAACAGGACAAAATAGGACAGGCGTGAATAAAAGTCACGTACCTTATGTGGTTGCGAGAAAGAAAAATTGGAGGAGAAGCAGTTTAGCAGAAGAGGAAGAACTCAATAGAATCCAGATGAAAGCCAGGACCAGGCTTCCTTATGCACGAGTATCTTAGCTGGTTTGGTCCACAGTGGGGAAGAGTCAAAGCCAATGCAACTGTGTCCAGCCACGTCAGTCTCTTAAAAGTGAATTTGGCAGGACAGTGGGCAGAAATGTGTTACATGCCCAACAAGAGCTTGACTGAATTTGAGAAATTTGAAGGTAAGGAAATTGAGTGCATTCTCAAGCATGTCACGTCTTCTACCTGAATGAGAGTTTCATGGGTTCATTGTTTCTGTGTACGGAGTGAGGGCTTTGGCCTCACCCAAAGAGAAGCCTGGCTTTCCTCCCCAGCTAACTTCTAAACTCTTGGAATTTCCCAAGGGGTGTGAATGTCTTTGTTATTCCTTGAGACCCAACAGACCACATTTGATCCTTTGAAGAAAGGAATGTCTCAGGGTGGGGCCAGCCACACTGTAGTTTAGGAGGGGGACTGACTAAGGAGCCAGTCTTGTGCTTAGAGGTTGGAGGCTTTGGTTCATGTGCTATCACTTGACCTCTGGGGGATTTTCAGCGCTCTGCCTGGCCAAGGTCCTTACAGAATTGTTTCTGGACACTGAACACGAGCGGTTCGAGTATAGAGTTTGAAAAGGTGCAGCACCAAGAACCTGTTCCAGATTCTTCTCCTAGGGGAGTCAGTGGATGTCCTATGAGATGCTAACGTAAAAGGAATGGATTCAGTCAAAAAAGAACACAAAATGTTAAGCAGGTCGGGTCAAGTTTGCGTCAAGATAATCACAAGAGTCTAAAACACGGAAGAATGAGGAGGAACAGAAAAACGTCCAAGGGATGGGATATGAGAAAGATTCAGATGGATGCTATTTCTTTGGGTGGCTCGGTCAATGAAGCATCTGACTCCAGCTCAGGTCATGATCTCACAGTTTGTGAGTTTGAGCCCCACATCAGGCTCTCTGCTGTCAGCACAGAGCCTGCTTGGGATCCTCTGTCCCCCTCTCTCTTTGCACCCCCCACCCCCGCGCGCGCGCTCTCTCTCTCTCTCTCTCTCTCTCAAAAATAAATATTAAAAAATTTTTTTAATTGGATATTATTTTTTCAATATTTTGTTTAGTGATTCCTCACTAGCGTAAAATTTTATTCACTTCAAATGGTAAAAAGAAAGCATGCACACACACACACACACACACACACACACACACTATTGAAGATAACTGCTAACTGAAAAACACGTAAATCTCAGGAACTTGTTGGGAATCAGCCGGAAGGTTCTTCTGCAGAACCCCTTTGCTAAAAGCAGCCTTCTCTCCACAGACCTGCCCAGTACTTGGTCCTGCTATGTTCTCCTCACCTTTACAAAACTTTCTTTTTTGTTGTTAATGCTTTACTTCCCTGTTATTTTCATTTAAGAAGAAAAAGAATATCTCTTTGGAGAAGAAATGGCCATTTGTATTACATTGTTAATTTCAAAGTACTTTATATGGAGGTTGTTCGACCCAGATACATGTATGTCACAAGAGCTGTGTGGTTGTGGAGCTTTACCTGGTTTCTATGGACACCTAAGACTGAGAGCCAGCACTTGACGGAAGATTGTTTTCCTGCCATCGGAGTTTCAAATCATTCCTATTTGGTGAATTTGAGCAGACTATTTTGTTTTTTTGTTGGTCGCCTTTTTTTAATTTTTTTTTTATTTAAAAAAAAAATTTTTTTTTTTAACGTTTATTTATTTTTTTGGGACAGAGAGAGACAGAGCATGAACGGGGGAGGGGCAGAGAGAGAGGGAGACACAGAATCAGAAACAGGCTCCAGGCTCCGAGCCATCAGCCCAGAGCCCGACACGGGGCTCGAACTCACGGACCGGGAGATCGCGACCTGGCTGAAGTCGGACGCTTAACAGACAGCGCCACCCAGGCGCCCCTTTTTGGTCACCTTTTAAACAATCGCTGTAAATGATGTATGCTGCTACTCAGGCTTTCCTCTTTCATGAGCATGTATCGTATTTGAAAAAGTCGTGGCCACTACGGTTGACTTGTAAGTAATTCTGAATATTTGGCGGCCATTTCACTGCAGGTTGTAGTCCTGGTCTAAGTCTGACTGCTGTTGGAGGATGGGTTGCACCCATAAGGGTGTTTTCTCAGAAATAGCAACAAAGCCACCAAGCCAAGCTAGATATTATACATTCCTCAGACTTTATCTTCCCTGTTGTTTTTTTTTTTATAAACACAAGAATGGGGGGGTGGGGCTACTGGAAGGAACCCACCCTACTCAAAGCAGAGGGCACATGCTCACGATTCTGTAGTCTACAGGACTTTTGGGCCATGTCGGTGGCTTCCCTACCGCTCAAAAAATACAGAATATCTTGGCTGCTGTGTATCTGCATGGTGTCCCATTGCTTCAAGGAGTAGCTCGATCCTGGTTTGGGGTAGCGTTGAGCCACCAGCTCACTGGAGGGAGGCCAAATGCTGCCCCTTCTTCTTCGCTTTACTGCATTATCAATTCCCGTAACGTTCAAAGAATCCAAGATGGAGTCGGCAAAGGGTGGGAATGATTAAATAAGTAAGGTGACGATAACAACAGTCGGTTGAGTCCCACCATGGCAGAGGTTAACGAAGAGGCAGTGATGGACTCTGGGAAGTAGGTTACGGGGCTTCACCTTCGTTTTTCTCTCGTGTCTAGGCTAGCTTTGCTGAGGCTGGAGCGTGGTTGTTGAAGCGGCTGGGCTGGGAGTTTTCTGACTCTCTCTTGCATCATCCTTCCTTCCCTCCCCGGCTTCTCTTACCCTGACGGTTTCCTTCCCCTTCTCCTACTGTCTGCCTGACAAAATGCTTTAAGAGCTATTCACTCTTAAGCCTCTTCTCAAATACCCAGCTGGAGAGGAGCCTTGAAAATACGCTAAGTGAAGGAAACCGGCCCAAAAGATCACATTTTGTAGGGTTCTATTTTTGTGAAATATCAAGGAAAAGGCAAATCTATTGAGACAGAAGGTAAATTAGTGGTTGTTTAGGGATGGGGGAAATTCGGAGTTTCTTTTTTGGGGTGATGAAAGTATTTTAAAATGGATTGTGGTGATGATGACACAACTCCGGCAATATCCCAAAAGCCATTGAATTGTACGCTTGGCATGAAGGAATTGCGTGGTGTTAAATTATATGTAAGCTGTTCTTGAAAAAAAGAAACCCCAGTTAGATGAGAAGGTGGCATTGTGTGATGACTAAGCACATACATTTAAGTGCTAGAGAGATTTGGGGTAAAATCCTCGCCATACCAGGGATTAGCTCTGTGATCCTGGCATGCTACCTCGTTCTCGAAACAGCAGAAAACAGCAGAAAAGAAGATTCTTGCGAGGATTAGTGAGGTCATACATTGGAAGCCCTTAGCACGGTGTCGGGACATCACAAGACTCGACAAGTAGCTGTTTTTACGTGGTTTCCTTTCCCTGGGAATGTCTTCGCCTTTTGTGTATTTAGGCCCTGAGAAGGATGACACTCGTTGATATAAACCTCCCCTACTGGATTGTAAGCCTTTTGCAGGCTCAGACTTCCTTCAGTTGCTCATACCTTAGCTTCCAATAGTGATTCTCAACACCTAGTAGGTGCTAAATATTTATCGGCGGAATTGAGTTGAATGTGTTTGGCTTCTCTGCTAGATTGGGAGCTCCTGGAGTACTGTGACTTATGACTGTACCTACAGGCTCTGTCTCAGTAGTGGATACAGATACTAATGCTCTCGCTCTCTCCACTACTGAGATAGATCTTGTGGATCTGTCATCGAGTTCTTTTGAATCAGTGAACAAATGAAATTTCGAATTCCTCACAACAGATTCTGTCGGTCACGTCCCTGAACTTTTCTCGTGCCTTCCTCTTTCCAGTCTGCCTTGCTGTCAGGGTTCTGATTTTATGGGGGTATCCAGGGGTGAACCGTGTTTAGCCTAAACCGATCCTGTGTCCATCCCTCTTGACCGAGATCGGTTTTGGACATGCAAGTGATGCCTTCTGGCTAATGAGATGTGAAGGGGCTCGGGGGAGGACAGGCTAAGCGCGAACCAAGAGCAAAATGTAAAGGTTGTGGGTTTTCAACGAAGCGTTGGCCACTCACGTAACCAACGCTGGATTTCTAAACTCCTTGTTACGTGACAAAATCTACCCCATTTTGTCTCAGGATGGACACTTCTACTTAGGATTCTACCTAGGATTTCTGTTGTTCGTCACTGTAAGTTTCCTGATATACTTTTCCATTTGATGTTTTCCGCTTCCCTGTTAAATCCTGGAGGTAGAGCCACTGATGGGAAGAGAGAAGGAATTAGAAACCAGGGGACCGAGGCAACCATGAGGAATCAATAAATAATTAACCAGATATTATTCTATATTTATGATGTAGACCTCCTACCTCACCTACTATAAACATTTCAGAAGAAGAGATTCATTCATGTGTTCACAGCCCATCACAGTCTGACTCTTGTGATGGGAAAAAAGCAACCAGAGACAAGGTGGAAAAAGAATGTATTTTTGCAAGAGTGAAAATGTGTGTATGTAGCAGTCACCAGGGCGAAGCATGCATCTGGCCTTCCGTATGTTTTGGCTGCTGCAGCCAACAGTGATGTCAGAGTCGCGAGGGGACACTTTCGGCGGCTCTGTGACCAGGAACACGGGACAGGGCTTCTTTGGTGCGAGAAGGGATTGTCCTCCAGGTACAGGAGGATGAACCAGACCCGGACGTGAAAGGAAGAGGGACACTTACTCAGGACATCTGGTGTAGCACCTGCCTTCATGGAGGAAGAGAGGGAAGTCTGGCCGAGTCCGGCACTTTCCGCAAAGATTGGCTCCAGAGCAGGAGGCACAGTCTTCCGGACAGTTCTCGCAGCTGCCACTCGTCACCGAGGGCCATGTGCCTTCGGGACACGAGGAGACACAGGCCTGGGCCAACAGATACGTGCCTAGAAACCCAGGGAAGAAGGCAGATCAGACGGTCATCATGTGTCTGGTCCAACAGCACACACATCCATGAAGTAATTAATTATTAACTAACTAACTAATTAATTAATTAATTAAAATGTTAGTTTTCGAGAGAGCATGAGCAGGGAGGGGCAGAGAGAGACAGGGAGAGAGAATGTCAAGCAGGCTCCATGCTGTCAGCACAGAGCCTGACCCGGGGCTCGAACTCACCAGCCGTGAGATCACGACCTGAGCCAAAACCAAGAGTTGGACACTTAAGTGACTGAGCCACCCAGGCACCCCATGGCTAATGAACTTTAAAGAGTAATGGAACTTCTAGGGGCCCCTGGGTGGCCGAGTCGGTTAAGCATCCGACTTTGGCTTGGGTCATGATCTCATGGTTTGTGAGTTCGAGTCTCTTGTCAGACTCTGCTGTCAGTGCAGAGCCTGCTTTGGATCCTCTGTATCCCTCTTTCTCTGCCTTTACCCCATTGGTGCTCTCTCTCTCTCTCTCTCAAAAATAAAAAAAACACTAAACAAAAGGGGGGGGGGGGAGTAATGGAACTTCTAGAAATGTCACGTACCCAGATACCCTAACAAATTCTGTGGCAAAATCAACAGATAGCCTCATCATGCCTTTGGATAAGAACCTTTTCTTTTCTTTCCTTTTCTCTTTCTTTTTCCTTTGAAAGCCAGCTTTTTTTTATAAAGATTTCATTTTTCAGTAATCTCTACACCCAACGTGGGCCTCAAATTTACCACCCCGAGATCAAGAGTTCCATGCTCTAGGGGCGCCTGGGTGGCGCAGTCGGTTAAGCGTCCGACTTCAGCCAGGTCACGATCTCGCGGTCCGTGAGTTCGAGCCCCACGTCGGGCTCTGGGCTGATGGCTCAGAGCCTGGAGCCTGTTTCTGATTCTGTGTCTCCCTCTCTCTCTGCCCCTCGCCCATTCATGCTCTGTCTCTCTCTGTCCCAAAAATAAATAAACGTTGAAAAAAAAAAATTAAAAAAAAAAAAAAAAAGAGTTCCATGCTCTACTGACTGAGCCAGCCAGGTGCCTCTGAGAGCAAGTTTTTACAAGAGGTCACTGTTTGGGTCCCTGCATTCCCTGTGATAGGAATAATGAGGAGACTAGATCGAGTCCTGCAAACCTTTTACGTAAAGATGCCGATACCTGTACGTAAGGGACAGCAAATTGGCTCGGCCCCTTCCGCCCCTTGTCACCCTCCACACTGACCTTTCGGACACGAAGTGCACAGGGTCGCCGATTCATTGCAGGTTTCACAAGAAGGATGACAAGGCTGGTGTCCTCTCAAAATGTCTGTGTGGGGACAGAAACCAGAAGTCAGTGTCCTATGAACAGGCATTATTACAGTGTGGGGAGGGGTCTTGGGGGTAATCTCCTCCGCCTTCCTGCCCAAATAGAATCCCTTCAAGTTAACATTGGCTAAACACTGGTACCCACTCGTTGCCTACATGGTGGGCCTTATTTATTTTTTCTCTTCCTTCTCCGCTGACAATTGATTATCAAAACCTGCTTTGCAAATCCACTGACAGAATAACCTTCGACACAAAAGGGATGTTTGAACTAACAACGGGTTCCTTCCTTCGTCTGTCAGCAGTCTGTGGGAGTATTGCTTGTGTGTATGCGCACATAGAGAGTTTTCTGGTTCAAGGTCATCCCTTCTTCCCCCAAGATTCTTGGATGACCGTTTCTCTTCAGTCTAAGAGGATAACTGAGAATTCATCGCGCCTCTCGTGGAGAAACTTTTTTCCTTTTCTTTCTTTTTTTGTTCTTTGGAACCAGGTCTCATGATCGGGCAATGCTTGGTCTCTGTGATCTTCAGAGTAGCCACTTGTGGGAAGCAAACCTAACTCTATGTCCTCTCAAATCATCATTAAACATCCACATGATGGAGCCACCGCCGAGCTTTCTGGTTGGGCAGGTGATCAGACCACCCGAGGTCAACCCACCATTAACCTGGGGAACATTCGAGGTGTTCCTCTCTCCCTTTCCCGCCAAGAGCATTCGCCGGCCAGGCTTTTCCAGGATGTCACCAAGTCCGCGGGACAGTTTTCAGCGACCTGCAGAATCGCCTTAGCGACATCACTGAATCGGTGCAGGAGATCTTGACGGAGTCTCAAGCCTGGCTTGGGGATCAGCATGAGTCCCACAGCGGGGAGCAATTAGCAAAAAGAAGTTCTGGCTCAGGATGTGTGATACGAATGAGTCTGACCCTCAGTCAGCGATTGTTGGCATCTTTCCATTCTCATCCCTTCCCTCCCTGGAGTCCTGCTGCTTCTCTTCCCGAGGGTCAGTCTGCCATAGTTGGTTCTGTAGTGACAGCTGCCTCCAGAGCCCAGCTGTGCCACTTACGGAGGGTAACCATGGATACGGCAATGAAACTTGAAGAGTCCTACTTTCCATGTCTCCAGAATGAAAAAGCAAATGGTCCTTCCCTTATAGGACCGTCGCGAAGACGGAATGAAACCGTGTGTGTGATGTGGTCGCAGAGTGGCTCAGTAAACGGTAGTCCCTTCTGCTTCCTTTCTCCCCGTTTCCTCCTTTGTTACCATTCCACCCCGGGTCCCAGCCTTTGGCTCTATTTCTCTCTCTCTCTCTCTCTCTTTCTTCTGTTCCGTACCTGGAGCGGCCCTGGGAGGCATTGTGGGCTTTCTATGAAGGAGCTACGGTGGATCAGCCGCTGAGACTTGCTCCGGAGGAAACCAGATTCAGAGGTGGGTAGATAGACATCGGTGTGGATGTAGATATAGATGTGCGGACAGAAATGATCATCCTGCTGTGCTAAGTGGTAGTTTTTGTCCCAGTTTGGGGAGAGCAATACACCCTCGTTTTTCAGGAGACTGACTGGTGTAGTCTCCCTCGGGGGAGCTGCTCAGAGCTCAGTTAGCCTGGTGCAGAGCGAATGCCCATCCTGGGCTTCTCCCGCCGGTGGTCCTCCTGCCCCTCGGCAGGACGGGGGGTTTCCCTGAAGGCCTTTTTAACCTGACGGTATCACTTCACCCAAAAGAGAAGGCAGCGCAGGTGAGCAACGATTCTGTTGCCGACATCAGTCCTCACGAATCGCCAGGGAAATGCAGATCGTGGAGGAAAGGGAGCCCTTGTGCGCCACTGGTGGGAACGGGAATGGGCACAGCCACTGGGGACAAGGGTGTGGAGGGGCCTCAGAAGATTAAAAATGGAACCACCATGTGATCCGGCCGTTCCACTTCTGGAGGAAATGAAATCACCATCTTGAAGAGATACCCGCCTGCCCGTGTTCCCTGCTGCGTCGTTTGCAACGGCCAAGACATGGCAACCACCGAAGTGTCCATCGATGGATGAATGGATAAAGGAGTTGTGGGGTATACATGCAATTAGAAAATATTCACCCATAGAAGGAAGGAAATCCTGCCATTTGGAACAAATGGATGAATGAACCTTGAGCAGTATGCTAAATGAAATATGTCAGAGAGAGAGAGAAACACTGTATGATCTCACTTATACGTGGAATCCAGAAAGGAGCCAAACTCCTAGAGTACATTGGTGGTTTCCAGCATCAGGAGCGCAGCTGGGGAGAAGGGGTGAAGGGGACCAAAGGCACAAAGTTGTGGTTATAAGATGAATTCGTTCTGGGGGATGTCATGTGCAGCATGGTGGCTATGGCTAGTCCTGCACTGTGCACGTGAAAGCTGCTAAGAGACTAGGTTTTCACACACACACACACACACACACACGCACACAGGAAAGGTAACAATGGAAATGGTAGATGTATTACCCTCATTGTGGTAATTATTTTGCAGCGCATACGTATATCAAAGCATCACATCATACGTGGTAAGCCTTAAGCCTGCATAGGGTTGTATGTCAGTTAGATTTCAATAAAACAGAAAAAAAGATACTTAATGGCCGAGGGCAGTTCTTGAAATAATAGCGAAAAAAGCTTTTTCAGACAGCATCGAAACCTTTCATATTTTTATGTCTAGATCAGGGGTTGAATCCCCCCCCCCCCCACCACGAGTTGAATTTTTGATTTTATTGTTTTTATACTATTTTTTGAATTTGCAAAGATATGAGTTTTAAAGAACTTTCCCACTGTTTTGTAAGCTAGAATGTATCTATCTACACATACGTATGTATTTATAATTACAACTATCTCACATTTGGGCAGGTTGTCATAGGCTTGAATACATTTCTGTAATGTCAGGAAATGGCCACGAGAGGGTGCTCTATACACACAGTTAACAGCACTTAACTGTGGGCAACCAAGCGTCATTCCCAGACACTGCTCTTTTGTATCAAAGGTTAGTGACTTAATCACAAGTAAATTTTGACCTTGATTGTAGTTTGTTTTTTTTTTCACTCAAGAAATTCTGGACTGGACAAGACCTCAAAGAAAAAAAATGTCCTTGACCAGGGAAATGCTGTGGTCTGTCCTTGAGAAATGAGTATAGCTAAGCCATATAAAACAGAAGTTTTATTTGCTTTTTAAATTTTTAAATAAGCAACATTCACAAAGTTTAAAAAAAAAAAAGCAAAGAGAGGCAGAGGGAATCCCGAGCAGACCCCACACTGCCAGCACAGAACCCGACATGGGGCTCGATCTCGAGAACTGTGAGATCATGACCTGAGCCGAAACCAAAGCTGGGACGCTTAAACGACTGAGCCACCCAGTCGCCCCTCTCTCCACCCTTTTTATGCAAACTATCTATTCACACTCTTTATCACATTTTTTGATAATACTATATTTTGGGGACCATTCTCTATCGGTATATGAAGAACCCCCTCATTCTTGTTTATGTCTCGACGGTATTCCATTGCACGGGTGAATCATAGTTCATTTTTCCAATTGGTAACCACTGGTGACCATTTAGTTTTTTCCAGTCCCTGCTATTTCAAATCATACTACGGTGACTGGGAAGGCAAAAGGTGCTTTTTTTCTTCAGCCCATTCTTACAGATTTGCAAGGACAGGGGCTTCTCTTGATAGCGTCTCCCAGACAGAACCACTCAGCACATCAGGAACACCCTTATGTGTTCCAGAATACTCTCCTGCTGAGTTTCCTCCCCGTCTTTGGCCTTTGAGCACCTACGTTGTGGTCACCACCTCTTTCTGGTTTTTGTCTTGTGACTTCTGCACCCCCATCTGCTCCTGGTAGCCCAGCGTCTTGGGTTGGTTTCTAAATCACAGAGGCTCCTTGCTTCATTGGGATTGTCGTCTCCTCCCTATTTCCCTGTTACCTCTTTTGATTGGAAACTTCCGCCGTCGTTTCTGTGGCCAGGTCTTCTCCAAAGATGGGTTTGCGGTGGGTGCAGGTTCTTTTTTATTTAAAAAAAAAAAAAAAAAAGTTTTTTTTTTAAATACAAAAAAGATAAGAGAAGTCCTGCCCATCATCTCCCCACCCAGAAATGCCTGCGGCATCTACTGTAGCACATAGACGTCCCGTCTTTACATTGAACGTGTGAGTATAATTACATATGTTTGCGTAATCATTTACATCTGTGGGTATGATACTGACTCTCCATTTTATATTTAATAGTATAACTTTTATAGGCATTTCTATTAAAATTCTTTGAACACACTATTTTTAAAGGTTTGTGCGTTTGCATGAACCATAAGTCACTTAATTTTTTTCTTTCGTTACATGTTTAGATTACCCCGTCCCTCCCCCCCTCTTTTTTTGGTTCTAAATACAGCTGTCATTGACATCTGTATACACCTTATTAGTTAAGTCCGGACTCTGCTTGGCTCTTAGACGTCCCAAGCTGAGCATTATTTGGTACCTTCTTTCTGGGACTGTTTTTCCCAGACCTGTATTACTCTTCAGGTCTCCAAAGTTACTTGCTTTCATGACGTAGGAAGATTGTTTAGATAGTGAACTAGTATTTCCTGCGTTAAGACCAGAATCAGGTTACAGGGTTGGATAGTTGGTTTAACTTTTATTGTGTCATAGTCCGTCCTGGGAGCTCTATGTGTGTTCTCTCATTTAATTCTCAAAATGAACTTGCCTGAGGTAGTTCCATGTTCTTATTTTATTTCATTTATATGCTTTACTTTTTTTTCTTAAAGTTTACTTATTTTTGGGGGGGTGGAGGGCATGGAGAGGAGGAGAGTATGAGTAGGGGAGGGACAGAGAGAGAGAAACCCAAGCAGGCTCCTCGCTGTCAGCTAAGAGCCCGACGTGAGGCTCGATCCCATGAACCGAAAGATCATGACCCTCACTTCTAAGTGAGACAACTATATATACCTAGAAAGTCCTTCTAAAAGTTAGATTTTCGGGGCATCTTTAAAGTTCTCTACAACTGAGTTACAGGTAGGCGACGTACCTCCACGCTATTGAGATTTATTCTTTACGTTTGGCTCTCAGTGTTTATGACTGACTGTGGGATTCAGGCTTCCTCAGGGCATCGGAATTAAGATCCAAAGACAGGCCAGTGAGAAATTGTTAGGATGTGGTCAAAGATGAAAAGTTAATTCACTGTGTTTGTGCTTTGTAGATTAAACCATCATCAGAAGATGTAATTAGAGCCTGCTACAAACACGGTTTTAATCGATGATGGAATTAGGTGGGTAGGGGGAAATGTGCAGGAATTACTCTTAGGACTTTCCGGCACTCCCAGGGGGAAAACCGCCTAAGAAAATCCGAATGATTTAATAGTAATAGAATAAGCTGTTTCCATTCCCAACAATGGTTTCAGGAAACCAACCGAAGCCGTGGCCTGCCACGCCTGAATGTTTGCCCCAGTGGTAGGTCTGTGATGCCTGAGTCACTGGTGAAGCCATCGGCAGCCTATTTAATGTCGGTTCTGCTGCTGCTGTGGAAGGGACGCTGAACTAAGTGGTCTCCACGATATGTCAGTAACTGGGACGGGGGATCTGGTGGCGATCTCTACTTTTGTGCGAGGGATTCTTGGCAGGAAGAACAGAGTTGAGTGGCCATCTTTGGCCATTACTTAGTCTCGGCTGAAGGATTTGCCAGGCACGGTCCAGCGTGTGGGGAGATCTCCATCCTTGGCCTAGGGTAGGAAGTACTCCCACCGGCTGCGTCACGAACAAAGAATGACGGCCTCCCACCGTGGCCACTCTCGTTGTGAGTGGCCACCTTATGAAAAGAGGAGTTCCGTGAACTCCGGTTGGATTTTTATTGCACGGGATCTTCTCCAACACGTGCTGGCGTAGAGAGCGCAGGCAGTCCTAGTCTTTGGATGCAAACGCGATCTCACCGTTGCCGCGGAAGTCGTGCGGGTGAAGGCACGGACTGAGGTTAGTTCCGTTTTCCTTTCCCTGCCTGGATCCGGCGACGGCACCTTGCTGATACCACCTAGGCAGCTATATTCTTTTACGGCCGATCTGTAATTTGCCCGGGCTCCCTCAGGAGTCGACCCCGGATGACTGCAATCTGCTTTGCATCATCTTAAAGGGGCGGCTAATTAGTGGCTGTTTTCTGGAACCCTCTGCTCTCCGATTACACTCTCAACTTTGTTTTTTTGAGAGTTAGAAGTCAGGGGGAAAGATTGTTGGCATTGGCTCAAGTGCTCCCGGGTCTCGATGGGGCACATTTCCCACTTCCTGTCCACTCCAGTGGGATCTAAACCGTGCTGGGGAAGCAGAGCTTCAGCCGCACCTTGCTCCGAAAAGACGCGTCTTTTTTTCCCCTCTGTTAACAGTCTGCCTGTCTTCTTTCCTCGATCCTAGAGAAGGGCAGCCATGCCATTGACTTTACTGCTTTGGTCCAGCCGTGAGAAACATTTTCATCTGCTTCCCCGATCCCTTAGTAGTGCTAACTCCCCAAATGGACTAATGCCTTCCTGTCTTCAAAAACACTGTATTTTTGATAGTAGAAAATGCAGAGGGCTGGGTGTGGTGCTCCGACGGAGGGGAACAGTCCAGGCCTGATTTCTGCTTGCGAAGCGCGTAGTCCGGTTGAAAGGGACATGTAATCATTTGGGGAATCAAGTCTGCTCTGACTCTTGGCTCCCTGGACCTTTTCATCATCTGGATGCCAGATAAAATACAGATGTTCTGAGCTAGAAACACAGCACCAGACTATTTTCCTCTTGGCTCGCGCTGCCTCTTAAATGCCTGAATGCCAGACAAACTCGTTTTCAGCGTTTTTGGTCCAGCTATAATTCACGGAAGATATCCCAATCTGGATTGAATGATTTTCTTCCCAGCTACGTCTCTGAAATTGGCCCGTGTTCTCCGGGGCCTTTGGCTGCTGGGTTTGTGATGATCTCCGGGCTGCTTTTCCTTTAGGTCACATTGGTGACACTGTCGTGGTGGACAGTGGCCCTGGATGTCCCTCCTCTGGAACCCAGCAAGAGCCTTTCTCCGGCCCCGGATCGATCCCTCTCCCCGGCCCTTAGAAGACTCATCCTCGGCGGACCTCCCTTCGGCCCCCATGGCTTCTGCACCGAAATGACCTTTTCAACAAATCCTCGCCTTGAAATCAAACGGAGAGCGTCTCTGCATAGAATGCGAGTCAGATTTTTTTTTTCTCCCAGCAGGATGAGGGCTTTGTTTTTTAACCACCACAGACACCGAGAGGTCATCGAAGTTTGCAGCTACCTTGCAGGGAAGCCCGTGGCGGAGGCTCCAGGGCGAGGAGGCCGGTTCTGAGGACGCGGGTAGGAATGAACACACACAGGCCTTTGCTGTTGGATCATAAGCTCCCGCATCTTTCCTCCTGCTCCCATCAAGATGCCCACTTTCCCCATCTGCAACCGGAGCAGGGGGCGGGGGGGCTTTGAAAAGGCAAGCTTGAATGATGGGAAGTTCTGATCAAGCGGCCGGAAGGATCAGCTGACCCAGCTTTACCTCCGCTACTTGCGAGAGGTTCTCCCTTGTCCAACCGAAGACGCCCACCCTTACCGGCCGTTGCCCTTTACCGTGACAAGGAGATACACGAACGTGACAGAAGCCACTCTGAAATCTTGGAGACAGTGGTTGCTGGGCGATTGCCCTACACGACTCTCTTACGAGCTCCGACGTCCCCTCCGCGGGGATAGAAACCCGGTGGCCACGCCACCCGTGAGCCGCCCTCTGGGTTTCCCTCCAGGACAGATGCCCACCGACCACAGCCTCCTCCCCTCTCGCCCCCCCCGCCGGGAGCATCAGAGCCCTCGGGAGCGGCCCAGACTAGACGCCCACTCCCAGCTTTTGTTCCCTGCCCAGCCTGCATCTCTGGGACATCCCGAAGGTGAGGGTTAAAGAGGGAGGGAGGCAGAGAAGGCGGCCAGGCACCTGCTTTCTCTCTCGGGAGGCACATACCGTTCCAGAATTCGCCTTCCACTGGGGTCTGGGCGGGACCCACACACGTCCCCTGCCGCAGCTGCAGTCCTTCTCGGCACGTGCGACACTGCTGGTGGCCAAAGCCAGTGCAGGTTTCACAGGCCCGGTGGCAGGGCTCACATTCTCCCGTCTCTGGGTCGCCGTAGAAGCCGGGGCCACATTTGCGCACACACGTGCCGCCTACGTGAGAACGCAGAGAGGGAGGCTGAAGGTGGGCCCCTGGCTGGCTTGGCTTGGTGCTCTGTGCAAGGCCAAGTTCCAAACAGGCCGAGGGGCGTCTCGGGAACATTTTTATTGGAGTTTGTAAACTTCTTTAAAAAAATGTTTTTAAATGCTTGTTTAGTTTTGAAAGAGAGAGAGAGAGACAGAGACCGAGATGACATGAGCGGAGGAGGGGCAGAGAGAGAGGGAGACCCAGAATCCGAAGCAGGCTCCAGGCTCCGAGCTGTCAGCACAGAGCCCGACGCGGGGCTCGAACTCACCCACTGCGATATTATGACCTGAGCCGAAGTCGGACGCTTCACTGAGCCACCCAGGCGCCCCACCTTTTTCTTTTAAACTTTTGTGGTTTTTTTTTTTTTTTTTTTTTAGTTTTTTTAATGTGTATTTATTTTTGAGTTTGTTTTTTTAAGAAACCAAGCTGGCGTAAGCTTATTTCAACCAAGGAATGGGTCTTAAATCCAACATTTAAAGTCCGCCTTTAGCGGGGAATTTAAATTGGTTATTAGCTCAAGGGGTTAAGAGCCTAGTCAATTCTCAGGGCCCTGAACAAATAAAATAGTGTCCATATAGAACCACTGGAGATCTGGGTGGGCTGTCTGCCCCTCTCTCTCTCTCCCACAAACATTCGAGAGCACTGGACCATTAGTTCTTGGACTGCAAGACTCGTAGGGTATTTCTTTCCTAACCATCCAGAACTGACCAGAGGATCTTGTTTACCTGTTACAGTGCTTAGGAAGAGTCATGGTTCTGGATATTTCAGGTGACTCCTCTCAAGGCCTTTATCGTCGGTGTTCCTGCACCCCCCCCCCTTCCACTCTCGTTTCCATCAGCTCGGAGATGTTTGCAATTAATTAGTGAAATAGGAACTCCGCTACAGTAATAGAAGCAGAAAGAAGTAGTCTGGGCTAATGCTTATTCTGAAACCAAATTACAGTCCGTCCCCGGACGAGAGGCGCAAGACTCAGACCTATCAGGCGGGTGCTCTCCTTTCCGGGTGAGGCCCCGGAGCCTTTGTTCTTCCTCTGCACCCTGCCGTTGTCACACTTACCCAGGAGAAAGAAGCCCTCTTCACACGAGTAGCACGCCTGCTGGTCACAGTTGCTGCAGTTCGTGTCACACGGTTTACATTCAGATCCTTCGCCGTAGGTCCTCTCGGGACACGTTTTATGACAGTGGTGCTGAAACCTACAGGGAGGAGATGGGGTTTCTTCCATGAGCTACGTTGGCGTATTTCTCTTAACCACCAGAATTCAATGTCCTCACATATGTACGCTCATCGTGTTTAATAGGTATAGATATTTGGGTTTCAAGGGCAAAAACCTTCTCTTGGTCTATGTGCTCAACAAACAAGGTTGATCTGGACCCTAAGGACCCTTCATGAAGGCAGCTGTGAAGAGGCTGGGGCGAAGGAAAGCAGCACCGAGATGTATTTATGGGCTACTGATTATGCATTTACGACTCGTGTATTTATTTATTTTGAATTCTTTTAATGTTAATGTATTTTTCAGAGAGGGAGGCAGAGCGCAAGTTGGGGAGGGACAGAGAAAGAGGGAGACAACAGAATTTGAAGCAGGCTCCAGGCTCCAAGCTGTCCACATAGAGCCCGACGCGGGGCTCGAACTCACGAACCACGAGATCGTGACCTGAGCCGAAGTCGGATGCTCAACCGACCGAGCCACCCAGGCGCCCCGAGACATACCATCTTAGACATACAGATTCGAATTGGAGACCTTTGGGAGTGGTTGTAATCTGCGTTTCATTGAACTTGGTGGTCTGTGTCTCGTGTTACCCAGAGGATGATTAAGAACTAATAAAAAGTAACTGGCTTCATTCTGGACTTTCTGACTTCTGTCAAGGACAAGGTCTCCAGGCAGACGTTTGGAAACAGCTCAGTGTAGAGTTCAAGTGGCTTACCAAAATGTCTGCCACGAGATTAGTAAGGGTGAAGTGTCTTAGCTGTTATGTATTTATATTTTTATGCCTAGTGTCTGTTCTCATGCTACAGTAGAATGTTGTATTTCAGACTCCACTGAATTACAGGGTCATCTGAAGGGGGAGCAGAATCAAGTTGGCCTTTGCCCGTTGATGAATTTCACAGCATTGACAAGATACCAGAGGAAAGCTTTGCATCTCTTCGTTAATAACGTCAATCATACAGGGTGTCACTCATTATACCCAGTTCCTAACCATTCTAAAGGGTTATAAACGTGTGTTTCTTGAAAGAAACACCTCACGTTTCACTCTCAGTGATACGGGGCGTTTTCTTGTAGTGTATTTGTTTCTCAAAGGAGGTTATGAAGCCTTCTTATTGTTGGCCAGCAGTGAGCTGGAGCGCCTGGCAGGGCTGGCCCCGAGGATGACCAGAATGCTGTCAGGTGACAGAGGAGGTCAAGGCGTGTGCTCCCGTGTCAACACGAGGAAGGGTGCAGTTAAGCCGGAGGGGTGCAGAGAAAAGGAACAAAGAAGAACAAAGTGGGAACGCCCGCTTCTGCCCGGCCACTATCTGAGAGTCTAAGTTCTCCTTCTTTGGTTCTTCAAGGAACATTCTGGGCTCCCAACCATGTGACCTCACCAAGGAGTGCTTGCATCTCTGCTGTTCGTCTCTGCCTGAGGCGGTGTGTGGCGGGCCACGTGCTGGGTAAAGGCCAACCGTGAATGTGCTGACAGATTGCTTTCTGCTCATTTACTGTCATCAGCTTAGGTAACGACAAGGCGGACTGATTATTTTTGCTGGGTTTCAGCTTGTCGGGTTCCCCTTTCCCTCCCAAGCGCTGCACCCCTTTCAGCATCTTCTCACCCAGTACCACACCTCGGGCCTCTCGAATGTGATGGAGGCAAAAGGC